TTACAAACAAACAAATATTACATCCACGTAGAAACGTTTACAAACAAAGAAATATTACATCCACGTAGAAACGTTTACAAACAAACAAATATTACATCCACGTAGAAACGTTTACAAACAAAGAAATATTACATCCACGTAGAAACGTTTACAAACAAACAAATATTACATCCACGTAGAAACGTTTACAAACAAAGAAATATTACATCCACGTAGAAACGTTTACAAACAAACAAATATTACATCCACGTAGAAACGTTTACAAACAAAGAAATATTACATCCACGTAGAAACATTTACAAACAAACAAATATTACATCCACGTAGAAACATTTACAAACAAACAAATATTACATCCATGTAGAAACGTTTTGGATGATAAGAAAGAAGTACATTCTTCGTTATTGTATGAAACATGTTTTGTAAACACGACTTTAGACTCTTTTACACTATTTAGTGGAAACGAGTTAAACAATGTGTTAATAAGAATGATTTAAACACTGTGTTAATGAGTGCTAAGTACTAGCATAACACACCATCCAATTGTTAAACATTCATTTTATGGCATCATCCTTGGATGATTGTTTGTTTGAAGTGAAGCACAAAGCTACACAATGGCCTATCTGTGCTCTGCCCACCACGGGTATCGAAACCTGGTTTCTAGCGTCGTAAGTCCGCAGACATACCGCTGTGCCATTGGGGGGCTCCTTAGATGAAGTAACCACAATTTTTGACAGAAAATTGAGACATATTTTCGTTTGAACTTCTGGAAGTTTCAGAGTAATAAACTTTCACCAACTTTACTATTACCCATGCGTTAAACTCAACAACTAACGGCCAGTAAAGTCTTGAGTAATGGATTTTGTTGGTTGGCTAGCTACTACCTAGAATCCGGGGAACATTTACTTGTCTGACTTTCTCATACTTGACAATTTTGACCTTTTAAAAAAGCATTAAACAGTCCAAGCTTTTGTTTACATACTAATAGGCTACTCAATTTGAGCCGATC